AGTCAGAACATTTTTCTTGCAATTTTCCGTCTTCGAAATCTCCAGAAAAAATATTTTGCATATCTAGTAGAAATCCAAACCATGAATTTAAATCTAGTAAGTGAGAAAATCTTCCTGTTATTTCTGTAATCAAGTGATCAATAACATCCTTCGTGATGCAATAAATTTCCTGTTCAGTAGTCAATCCAGCATCAGCTACATTTTCACCTGGTATTCGTTTATGACGTATTTTCTTCTTTCAATGGTCAATCCCCATTTCACATTGATTCTTTCAATTTCTCTTTCAAAGAGTCAAGATTAGCAGCTGCTTCTCTAAAATTTATTTTTAGGTCCTGAAGATGTATCTGCACTCGATTGATAGATGATAAAAGATTTCTCTAAAAATGCAAAAGTACAAGAAAATCAAATGTAAGCATGCATTGCAGAATATTATGAGCACCACATTTTGTTTCATTCGTGTTGCCATTCCCACTTAATTGCTCTAACAGTCCTAGCAATTCATCCAGTTTTTCATGTACAACTTTTACTACCTTTTTTCTTGAACTCCACCGTGTTTCTGATGCACGCTTGACAGAGATTTTAAGCTCCTGCTGCAGTTTTTCCCATTGAGTTTTTGAATGAGCAAAGAAATTATTAATGCCTTCAATTATACCAAAAAAGGTAATAACTGTTGTTCCCTGACTTGCAGCATGCAGAATTCTTTGTTGAACGCCTGACAGATGACCTGACATGACAACAGCATTATCATAACATTGTGAGCAACAATCACTCAATAAAATTCCATCCGCTTCTAATTTTGTGCTTATTGTTTTCTCAATATTGGAAGCGTCTTTTTCCTTTATCTGTATAAAGTCAATAAATGACTCTTTGACTTCTACTTTTCTTGTCTTAAAGTCAATGTCAACAAACCGAATCACTTGGGCCAATTGCTCACGATTGGCTAAATCAGGTGTGGAATCAAATAGAATACCATAGTATTTGTTTCTACAAATTGCTGACAAACAATAATCTTGCACATGTGAAGCCATGAGATTTATAAAATCATTTTGGATTTCAGGAGAAAGATAAGATGTTGACATTTGCTTGTTTTTAACATGCTCTAAATGCTCTCTCATTACTGGATCATACTTTGCTAATAACTGCAAAAGTGAGAGGAAATTTCCAGGGTTTTAGTTTTAGGTTATGTCCTCAGTATGACTACGAAATGCAAGATTCTGAGAAGCTAAATATTGTGTACAATCCAGCAACCGTCGCAGTACATCTCTCCATTTATTTTTTTTTGCTGAATTTGCCTTTGCAGCTCTTCATCAATGCCACTTTGAAGACGACTTTCGGCACTCAGTTTCTTTCCAAGCAGCAAATGACTCACGATGACTGTCACTATTTTCATGGACATTTAACTTTTCAATTTTTTTCCACTTGGAGAATCCACCCTGTGTTTTGAAAGCAGACCGACTATCGAATGTCATACATGTAGATGAAAAAAGAAGACAACAAAAGCAGTATGTTGCTTTATGTAATGTAGAGGTGAATACATTAACCAGGAACTATTGACCTTTTGTCCATTCAGAAGGCATCATTTGAACCAAAATGCAGTCATAGTATGCCCATCTTTGGCATCAAATGGACCTTCTTTATGTTGAAATGCATGTGCTCCAACTTTAACAATTTCTGTGCGATGTGCATGTGTTACAACTGCTGAGCCTGTTATATCAAACTTCATAAATCCAGTATCCCTGTGTGTTAAAATATTTATTAGGTCATCCTCTTTTAGCTTAGCAACACTGTTCTGTGTTTATGACAAGGTGGAATCCTCTTGTTTATTATTATTGTAGCTTTCAACAGGACAGAGAACAGTTTCTTCATTGTTTTCTTTTTCAAATGAAATAGCATGTTCATAATCTTGCACTTTGACCTCTTTGCTGCCATCAAAAGGAACAGATGCTGGCTAACTGGTGTCATCACTTCCAGCAAGGAAAGCTAATTAGTTGTGCTAGATTACAGTTCCTAGATTAAGTCGCTATTACATCTAGATCTAGCATTAATGTTAGACCTGTTATTTCCATCTTTTTATTCTTAGGTTTGGATCTAGATGTAATAATAATGACAGAAATTTAGCTTTATACATCTAAATTAGACCTTAGATTTGGGTGCATAGATTGAAAGCACCTTGTACTGAATTTACTCAGATCTAGATATAACCCTGCCTCATCAATTCTAGATTTAGATTTATCAGGCCTAACTTTTAGAACAAATGTTACATCTAGATCTATTAACTTAGTCATTAGATCTGTCCCAGTGCAATGCCTAGTTTAATAGGTAGTATAGGTCTAAGTATGCCTATAATATAGGCTACAATTTGTATGATGATGGACCTAGGGTCTAGAAATAAAGTTATAACTGCGATTAGACCTAAAGTCTAGTACATTAGTTGGTGTAAGACATGATTTAAAATCACCCAATACAATTACAAACCACTACATTGGGCCTATAATGTTTACTAGATCTAGATCTTGCCTGTTGCATTATATTGCCAGTCTTGCACACCAGTTAATATGTTACATCAGTCTTGTATTTTTTTTTTTGTCGAACATACACTTACTTGTACGTTGTACTCTAGGACTTGTACTTGATCTACAGATGAATGAGGGAATGGTGTAATTTACTTCTGTACGTCAATTGGGTCTCACTGTATTTCAGTGGGCGGCTTTTAAAACTTAAAACTGCAAGGGTAATACACACAAATAACGTAACACTGTGTCGTATTTACTTAACATAAGGCAGTTGCGTTATATCCTAGGGGAGGGCATAATTATTAATTAATAGGCATTATAGGCCAGAGGAAATTTTGCACCCCTTCACACCTGCGCTGGTGGCGACTGCCCCTGCCCCCCCTCTTGCTATGCTACTGGAGGTAAGATATTGTATTGGAAGTTAACATTTTCCTACACTGAAAATGTATTTTTGATACATTCTTATCTCCTCTCACACTTCTCACCTTTCCTCTCATTTTCTGGTGTCTTTTCCTCTTCTGTTGCTCAATCTTGAAGTGATTTTGGGCTAAGCTGCATAGAGGGAGTCAGCTGTGCAAGGAGTTGTGTTGTGCTCCTATTGATGGAGGGTTATTGCACACTCATTTGCATGCTATCATGCAGCTGCCTCATTTAAGGGTAGATGGGAATATCAAGGCTAGTGGCGAGTGAAAATTTGTGCATATACAGGGCAGTATAAGTTGGGAAAAGCTATTCTGTGAGAAGAGGTAAGAATCTATTGAAAGTACACTTTCAATATAGGAGAATGTTAACTTTTAGTAAAGTTACACTAAGTTCTATTACATGTAGATTTGTTTGACTTGGTGGTTTACCAATACAAATTTTAAGTGCAATTATCAGCTTTCATTTATACTGTATTTGTAATATGAGAGTGGCAAAGATAATATAGATATTATTTATGGGCATGTTTACAGTCTGTTAATTTTATTTTATAATGCATTGTAGAAATATGAAATACTGATTTATGCATTCAGTATGTTGTACTTGCATGACCTGTATTAAAGAATTCTAAATTAAAGATGAAGGAACATGTAGTTGTAATGGAACTAAGTAATGACTAATATATTTAAGTAGCATCTGAAAGAGTATTTTATTTATTTAACTTTTTGGCATTGATATGCACATGTAAAATGTGATTTTTATACCTATAAAAAGTGCTGAGATGAATTGTTTTAACTAGATTGTACAAACAGTTGAGAAACTAGGGGCAGTGTGATTTAAGTGTTTAAAATTATTTGAGGGCTGAGTTAAATACAAACTTTAAGAGTCCAGATTTTTCATTGATGTAACTACTTTTGGAATTTTCAGTTTGCAGAGTTATTTATTGGATAATGTTTGCAGTTTGTTTGAATTGGTTCAATCTCTTGTTGGATGTCCATTCTATACAGGTATATTTGTGTAAAATATTACATGCATATTTTGTTTTGAAATTAGAGTTTGATTTTAGCTGGCTGAATGGTCATTTGTTACCTTTATGTGTTTACATTCTTTTATTTTATAGTTTAATATGTAGTATCTTAAATTTGTAGACTTTGAAAGTTTATGCATGACCCGTGAACAAGGCAAGACAAACAATGTATTCTATACTGCATATATCACCTCAAAATGTCAACTCACTGTCTCAAGTTTTGTATTGCTACTGCACGAAAGGTACGTACAGCAAGTAAAATATCTTTGTTATATTTACTGTTAACATTTTTTTCCTTAAAGCTAAAAAAGAATTTTGGATTTCAGCAACCTTATAAATACTTATTTCAAAACACTGAGCTACTACATACAGTTGTTGTTGTTAGAGTTAAATGTACAATAGGCAGCAACATTAAACAATTAAATAGTATTGGCAAGAAAAATATGGAAGATTCTCATACTAGGAAAATCTATTTTGTCAGTCTTAGATTTCATATTCTTCTTAAGATGCAGTTCTGAAGAAAAAGGTAGATTGTAAATATCAGAAAGAAACATTTCTTGGCAAATAATTACATTTAATAAGTTACTCAAACAGCCATTGTAAATTGCAATGCCACTTTTTTTATTCATTAATGAAGTTTAGTGCTTTTATATCTATTATCAAAAGTAGCTAAGTTAAATGTTAAATTTGTCAAAGCAAACGATAATGAATTTGTCCATTAAAAGTGGAATTTTCTTTAAAGAAAGCAAAAAAAGTTTCTTCTGCCAAACAGTCAATGTTAATCAGTGACAAGGATGAATTTGAATTTATAATAAGCAAAATCTTCAAATTAGCAACATATGGAAAAACATGCAAATAGCTCTAAAATGCCTTAGGTAGTGATGAGTTAAACTTAAATTGGTGTCTTTTCCTAATCAAAATAAGTAATGAATCTACATTCTGTAAATATTGCCACATTGTTTTTTCAAAAGGATTTATGAATAAGAGCCTACCTGTGAAAGACCAGTGTTGCCAAAAGATATTTAGTCAAAGTTGCAGAGAACATGGCATAAAACTCACCAAAAGTTAAATATTTTCTTAAATGAAGAGAACCAAATGTTAGTAATCCAATAAAGAATGTAATATAAAAAGAAAAGGCAACTGGACTGTGAGTATGAAAAGGAAAAAGAAGAAAAGGTATTACAGGGGCAAGTGGGAGAAAGGTAATAACTAGTTAACTATGATGAAGATGGTGGTGTAATATTTTGTAAGGTATGTCTAGAAGAAAATGTGAATCTGAAAACCATTTGGAAGTTTATAATTTTTTTAATGAAAATATAACCTCCACCCAGAAATATTGTATCAGAAAAGGTCTAAATTGTCTGAAAAGCACCAGAATATTTCGTCACTGAAAGACCAATACTCTTACTGAAAATAATAAATCTAATCTTTGAATTTTACAGCCATTTTTTTTCCATTGTGCAATTTATATTTTTAGTAATTTTAATGCAAATATCAAGCTTTTACACACAAATCAAATGGCAAACATGCTAATCCAATTATCGCAAAGCCATACCAGGTGAGACTAGACTCTTAAGTTTTATGCATGGAACTTCTACTCTGCATAAAGCACTTTTAATGCATTCTAGCACATCATCCATAGGGCAGTAATATTTATTTCTACAGGTGTATTTCTTCTTTCATTCACGATTACTATGTAGAAAGTTTCCTAGGTGCTCAGTGCAGAACATGCTAACATTTTTACATGTCAATTTCACAAGCCACGAAGTCCTGAACTGCCTAGCCTTTAAACAAGGTGCACCACAGCCACGAACAACCAAACCAAAATCAATAATTTGGCCTCTGATGTAATAAATGCCATAATCAAAGCCATCAAAGAAATAAATCCTGACCTACGATCGTGGAAACTTACTCCCAAAATTCATGAATTATTAATTACCTGCAGACGACTTCATACAGACCTGTGAAATTATGGTTAAACCACTCATTAATGCCAGGAATATAATCTTATTAAGAAACTTATATAACAACAACATGATAAATGGGAAAACTCCTGCCTATCAATAGATAAAATCTAAACCAAACCCTTCCAAATTCTGGTGGAAATTTAAGTCTATTGTGAACAACAAATCAACACCATAAATAAAATTCAATATAATAACAACAACACTGCCACTACCGATAACAAACAGTCTGAACTTTTTGCCCAATATTTTGAAAGTACCTTTGTAACCCAAAATTTCAACTCATTTGACACACAACATTTCAACAATGTAAATCAACATTTTTTTTCACCAAACTTCCTGGTTTCTTTTTCACAAATTTATGGTTCTAATTATTTGTACACCTGCCCTATAACATTAGCAGAAATCAAAATTAACCTTATTAAAATCCAATGCAAAGCCCCCAAGAGAGGATAGAATTAACAATTTAATCCAGAAAAACCTATACGATGAAAACATAACCCACTTTGTAACAATTTATAATGTAGGATTTATAACTTAGGATATTACCCATCTACTTGGAAATCAGCTGTTATTAAAGTAATCCCTAAGAAAAATAACTAATCCTAGCAGCTACAGACCCATTAGCTTGCTAACCACCTTTGGTAAGTTGATGGAAAAATTAATTACGAACTGGTTAATGGCTTACCTAGAAACCAACAGCATTATTAACAACACATAGAATCCATGCAGAAAACATAGAGAAGCCAATGACTACCTTGTTAGGCTTACCAAAACCATCTATTGTGGCTTCAACAGTAAAATACACAACTATAGCTGCTTTTCTAGATGTCCAAATGCCTTTGATTTGGTATGGCACACCTATAAACTAATTAATAGTTGTATATCCAACTTTCTTTCTGATAGAACAGCTAAAGTTAAGATCAACAATGTGACTTCCAGGCCTTTCACTTTTGAGGCCAGTGTCCATCAAGGGTTAGTGTTAAGCCCAACATTATACAATCTCCTTGTCAGTGATATCCCATTCCCTTCCTTAAACCATACACTTGCATCTGAATATGCAGATGATATTGTTATCTGGAGTTCTTTTAGAAACGTGTGTACTGCGACATTTAGGGTCCAATTATCACTCAATGCAGTGTGAGATTGGTGTAACAGGTGGCTTGTAGCTCTCAACCCATCCAAATTCCAAGCTATAGCCTTTTTTTAAGGAAAATAAATAAAGATAATAAAAAGCTTTGTAAGCTCCAGTTAACCCTTAACAATTCAGGTAATGATCAGGTAGAATATTTAGTGGCTGATTTGTGAAATTGGGTTTTTTTTGGGGTACTCCTGCTTTCCCCTATAGCAAAATTATTTTCATTGCATCTATAGATCCCTGCTCTGAAAAGGACTGCTCTCTTTCATATTCTATATTCAAAATTTGAATTACATTTTTATGTATTAATTCAGGCAAAGCTATTTATTCTCTTTGCCATCAATTTGGAAAATTAAATGTTATTATCTTTGCTAATTTTAGGTGTATTCATCCCCTATCAAGAATTAAGTAATCAATCACTGCAGACCCTAATTATCACTCTTATTTATACAACTCTTGTCAAGTTTGAACTGGATATCCTTAGTACAGTCTTGCTTCCTTCAATCTTCACACCTGTTTTGTCAGTGTCAGCAGCCACCTTGTACATTCAAACCTTCATATACAAAGGGTCCTTGTTATATGTTGTTTCATACTTAAATTGCTGATGTTTTGAGGAACACAGCATAACATTTCCCTGCATATACATCATTCATAGTTTATGACTTGGTTCAACTTAACTCTCTCAACACAGGCTCAGTCAATTTGACCGACCACGTGACCTCTTTGTACTTGTTTAGTCTTCATAGATTTAATACTTCTAACTTTCAATATAGTGTATATCTCTTCATGAAATTTGGCAGTCTTTCAGTTAACATTATAAGTCTTTTTCATACACAAAAAAATCTTATTTTTTTTATTATCAATGACACTTAACACTACATTTTTATACTAATGGTAGTAATGCACTAAATGATTTTTATTTAATTGAATAATACACTAAAAAACATAGACTAATAACATGCAAATAGCAAAGCAGACAACCCTGGACTCTTTATTTAAAAAATCAGCAAAGGAACCCAAAGCAGGCCCTTCTGGCACTCAAGTGAAGGAAAATCCTGAGCCTATGTCTTCTATAGAGATAAAGATGGCGGATATCAGTGATGTTGATGGCCTTACAACTGCATCTCCATTCTCATACTCTGAATAATTCTCACCCAACACTTTCTTCAGTGATGCAAACATTAAAGGTTATGGTAAGATCTTTTTAAAATGCTGTTTAATATTCTATGATTTTGACACTAAAAATGGTTTACTGTTTGAGTCATTGCTTAAAAATGCCACAAGTATGTTTTATATTAAAAAAGGAAAATGATTTAAAGTGTACAAGGCTACTTCAAAATGCTCATAAAAATGGTTTTCAATATAAATATAAATGCTTTTTAAAGGTCCTTGAACTCAGAATTAGTTATAAATATGTGTACATTATGTGTTGTATAGTGTAGTACAGATACTGTACATGTACAGTTCGTAGTTTGGTTCCTAGTTATAAAACACAACATTTTCTTAAGTTATGGCCCCTATTCAATACCATACTTCATTGTTTCTTATAGGAGAAATTGTCCTGCTTTGCATTGTGTAGGCAATGTTTATGCTCTTACGGTCCTCATCCCCCCCCCCCCAATTTCCCATTATTCTTATGGGGAAAAAAATTCCCTGTTATACATCATTTCGTTATAAGTTACGACTTTCCGATCCCTAACTCTGTATAACGAGGACCCCCCTGTACAGCAAGCAGCCTTCTTCTTCTTTGTTTCCTGTCTCCAACTCCCTGTTGTCCCAGTTTTTCCCTGATTTTTATTTCGAGGTGTTAACTCTCCTTGTTCACCAACCATGCTTGAGAATCAGTCTCTCATGCTTCAACAACATTAAACTCCACATTATTTTATCAAAGCACTGAAAAATCTTAAAACTTGTATTTAATTTCTTTGCAGCCCTGGTAGTTGTTCAACCCAAGTTTTTGCGAGTGGGCGAAGAGAAATTACAGTTTCTGACTACCCCTGGTTACCTTTCAGGCTATGAACTACCTGGAGCACATAGTCTTGAATACATTGCTTGATCTGTGTGTGTGTATCTATATATATATATCAGTTGTATTGGTTAGTTGATAAAATAATCTTCGTAAACTCCATTCCTTAACTGA